AGACAATCCCACAAAGCTTACCCAGACACATTCGCACACATTGATGAATTCACACAGTCATAAATTCTTACAGAACAGAACAGCATGTATAAACGATACTGAGAGAGCATAATAGATACTGAGAGAACATAATAATATTTGTATTGACCTCTGGCTTCGTGCAAATCTGGTTTATGCGACTTTAGAAGTCTATGACGGACAAGACATTAGAAATGAAATTCTGAAAGAGCAACGTGTGCACAGACCCATCCTTCTACTTCAAAATATAATCTGTCCAAGGAAAATGGAGGTTCGCAGCTGAAAACAAACATAACAAAGAGTATTTGGAGAGGGGGGGTATTGGTAAGAGCCTTATACCATAATATGAGCGCACGAGACTTAAGTTTCACGTATCTGGTTTCAGTTTGCAAAGTCAGATTGGTTGAAGTGGTTATATTATTTTTCTTTGTGGGTGAATTTCGTGTTAGAGGAACGCTTGAAGAGCATTTTAGTAGTGTCATTATTAGGAAAGCTTAATTCTATTCAAAATGTTAATCTGTGGATATTATGATGTACGTAAGCACCTTTGCAGCCTATAGAACCGCCTGAAGCAATGTTGTGAAACTTTTTAGGTTATGGTTGAAGGGTAGGCATTTATATTTCGAACGCTTTTAAAGTGCGGTTGATTCATAAGCGATTTACACGCATTATTTATCAATACCTCCCACGCTGTTTTCTCTAATCTTTTAGCAATTTTAAGCGCTCTGAGCCTGTGCACTTTAATCGTGTTTGAGCGCTATCTAAATGTCATTTATTATTATTATCATTTATTAAAAGCTTCTGTTTTTATGCACTATTAGTCAATTTGCGAGAAAACACTTTGGAGCATAGTGACTCCCTCAATGCTGTAGAAGCGGATAATCCAATGCGAAATGTTTTTATTCGTAAGATGTCAAACCTTAGAGTCTCAATCTGTAGAAAATTTTCCTTTTGAGGTTCTTGAGAAAGATCGCTCCCAAGTCCCCGCGAGGTCTACGACTTCGATCTTTAAATCTGCATTACAATCACAATATTAAGTTTGTCAAACAAAGTGGTTTTTTCACTTTGCTCGACAGAAGAGTGAAAAGAAAATCCCTCTCGTTCCGTGAGCTTTGGATATTCGCTTTGACACGCGTCGTAACACATTCGCTTTCTCCACAAAATCTGGTCCTGTCCTCTTTGTGTGTTGGTGGACCCGAGCGTCGTTAGTATTGAGAATGTAACTTCTAGCGACCGCTCTTCATATGGAAATCATGGGGGGGGGGGGGGGTAAACATCGATTAACAGAATGTCAAAGATATGTAACAGACCTTTTCATTTCTAATAATGTAAGAGTCATAACGACTGAGAAGAGATACAGAAAAAATGTGTCTTTTGTGAGGGGCCTCTCGCGTTTTTAAACATCTGCTGTTTACTTCCTCTCTCACTCACGCCACCTTCTTTCTCTCCCTATCCGTCTTTTTTGTCTGTAAGTCTTTCTCTCTCTCTCTCTCTCTCTCTCTCTCTCTCTCTCTGTCTCTCTCTCTCTGTCTCTCTGTCTCTGTCTCTGTCTCTGTCTCTGTCTCTGTCTCTGTCTCTCTCTCTCTCTCTCTCTCTCTCTCTCTCTCTCTCTCTCTCTCTCTCTTTTCTCGCTTTCTCCTTTCTCTGCCTCTCTTCTTTTTACTGTATCTATATCTCTCGTCCCTCCCCCCTCAGCATTTATATGTTGACGTATGATATATATTAGAGAAAGGTTGTGTCTATGTATGTGTGTATAGGGAGGGGGTAAGGGAGAGAGACAGAGAGAGAGAGAGAGAGACAGACAGACAGACAGAGAGACAGACAGACAGACAGACAGACAGACAGACAGACAGACAGACAGACAGACAGACAGAAAGAGAGAGACAGACAGACAGACAGACAGAGAGACAGACAGAGAGAGAGAGAGAGAGAGAGAGAGAGATAGGGAGAGAAGGGCGTGAGGAAGATTTAAAATTTAAAAAGATAAACAGACGGAGATAGAGACAGAGGGAGAGAGAGAGAGAGAGAGAGAGAGAGAGAGAGAGAGAGAGAGAGAGAGAGAGAGAGAGAGAGAGAGAGAGAGAGAGAGAGAGAAAGAGAGAGAGAGACAGAGAGAGAAAGAGAGAGAGCGAGCGAGTGAGAGAGTGAGAGAAATTATCAACCGTCAGCATGACCTCACAAATCTATATGTTAGGTCGCCTTAGACTCCCGAACCGATTAACTTTCGAATTTGAAAAAAAGTAACAGTGGTTCAGAATCATTTTTTAGTGTAAGTCAGGTTGTTTAGGTCCTTGCATCTGCATGAGATCAATATAAGTTCCAAGGGGTGAATGTCAGCAGAAAAGTCCAAACGAGGAATCAGGCTATCTCTGCTCACCTATGTAGCCTCAACAGCACAAAGTCTGCTTCGACTATCAAGGTATCCCGTAAATAGCTGTTCACAAGAGAGTGATCAACATGCAAAAGAAGTAGAGGTAAAATGAGGATAGTAAGGATGAGGAAAGAAAAGCATCACTTCCCCTTATGTTGTTCCGGCACAGTATGAGCATGACAATGATAAGTCAGCACATTAACAATTCTACAAGGCATACGAACGCGTTAATATCTCCCTTTTGGGAATGGCCTAAAGACACTTCAGTCAGTGGCATTGCACTGGGGGGGGGGGGGGGGACACTGTTGTATAATTTTCAGTTTTTCATTAGTTTCGTTTAAATTTAATCTAGGGAAAGTCCGTCTTCTAGACGTCATTATAAACAAGTGAGACTTCCGTCCGCTAGCAGTGCGCACTACTGATTCCACAATGACTTGACGATCGATTCTTTGGAAGCCGTTCATCGAACTCGTACCCAGCTAGTATGATAATGATTTCAGTGTACAGTTCAGTCACGCACGCAGCTTTATTTTCATTTTCTCTTTAGAATATATTATTATTTTCCGAATTAAGGAGTTGCGTTGCAGAACACTGCGCCTCTTCTGATTTTCATTGCCTTGATTGGTTTCCCACAAAACGTTTGTCATTTCAAAGGCGTCTCTTTACGCCTACCCTCCCTA